TTATATTTGAAACCACAAGACAATAAGACACCTTGTAGAATTTCTAAAGATCTGTAATTGTAACCGGGTTAGTCAAGTAATTTATACCAAATAATTTCCAAGGTTGGTACTTCATTTTTTTGGTATATACCATAAATTGTTCGCCGAATCACATCTTTTGTAGTACCATCAACGTTTGCGAATTTTTTATTCCTTTGTTTTCGTTTCATTGCATGGTCGAAGAACTGTCGAACGAGATAGTTTCGTTAATTCGCATATTCTATTCACAATAGCATTTATGAAGTGTGACAGTTTTCTTTCTTCAAGCATTCATGAATATTTAAAATTACTCGGTGAATTCGAACATGTAAGTCCTTATTTTCAGATTCCGGATCCCTGTCGATTGACACAGATTCCTCACACGTACTGTTACCATTTGTTTCAAATGGTCTTCAGAAAGCCATATTGATGAAAGTACCCCAAAACACTAAGATTTTCACAAAAATCGGTTTAAACGATGGGATTGGAACCTTTGGCGTAAAAGTTAAAAACTTTTTCTAGAGATCAATCACCTTAACACCAAACAGATATTTTTGTACTCGACGCGCGTTTCGCGTCGAGTGCAAAGTTAGCATCTTCAGGAGAAGCAAATTGATACTGAATCTTAAGACAAGGGTTAGTTGTTCGTATAACTAAAGTTTTTTGGTCTGATGTGGACTTTGTTGAATGATGATTACCCTAATTTATTTTTCGGTAATTAACTAGTGGAACCACTACCTGCAAATTAATTTGTCAAGAATAGATCAAAAAGCGGTTAGTTAATTAATTACCGAAAAATCAATTAGGATAATCATCATTTAACAAACAAATTCCGCATCGGACCAAAAAACTTTAGGTATATAAACAGCTTGTCTTCAGATTCGGTATCAATTTGATTCTCCTGAAGATGCTAACCTTGTTAGCGAAACGCGCGTCGAGTGCAAAAATATCATTTTGGTGTTGGTGTAATAGTTCTTAGATCGCACAAGTTCCTCAACTTTTGAGAGTTGTCGTTCTTATGGGGGCGACAGCTGATTAACGGAAAAACAGATTTAAAACAGATTTTTTTTAACATGGAAAAGCACATATTTACTTTGTATCTATGTATTTTTGAATGATTATTGTATGTGATGGAATTGGCTTGTCCATGATAATATTTGAACAGTTTTCACATTTTTTTAAATTCTAGACACGTTTCGCTAACACCTATGCTTCATTGGTAGGAATGGTAGTTACTATTACGCGTCTAGAATAAAATAATTAACGGAGATCGTCAGTCGGTCGTTGCTGAGACTTCACGATATAACTTCGTTCTTGCAGTCAACGCACATACCACTGATGATATCTGTCGCAGTAACAGACGAAACGTTATTTTCTCTAATCACAACTCTAGCCGTGGAAGGCTATGTCCTTGTACAACTAAAGTTTTTTTTTTGTTCCAGGTCCAGTTTCAAGTATATTATCAGTAAAATACAGTTACAGGGTAGTTACTATCATAGGTGGCATAAGTGCAGCAGCTGGCATGATACTAAGTTTTTGGGCCAGCTCTGTTTACTACCTCTATTTCACTTATGGTATTTTGGTGGGATGTGGAGCTGGCTTATCATTCCCACCTACCGTTTATATAGTCTGTAGTTATTTCACTAAGTTCAGAGGTGTGGCAAATGGGATCTGTATATCAGGGTCTGCTTTTGGATCAATAATAATTCCACCATTACTTCGAATAATTTTAGTTACATATGGATATAGAGGAGCGTGTCTTTTGATGGGTGGAGTAACATTGAATGTATTTGTTGCAGCTCTGTTTTATGATAGAGTTGAGTTACACATGAAGCGTGAAAGAATACCAAGCGCAGAAGAGGAGGAAGATGAAAAACATCATGCCAAGTTTATTATTAGTCAGGACAGCATACCATCTCTTATCCAAATACCACATAATGATTCCCTTTCAGATCCTAATCTAGAGTTTACAGAAGGTAATTTCAATCGAAGTGCTTCTAGTGCTGCTATGCAGAACTTGAAAATTCAACATAGGGAACGGAAAATTAGTGTACCTACTGGTAAACAAGAAATAATGAGAGCCAAAGGAGCGAATATGAGTAGTAACTCGGCACTTCATGTTGTACCTGAAAAACAAAGTGGCAACAAAGCTACGGAGACATTTTCTCGACTACCAAGTACCAGGACCAGAACGGTAGTTCCAAAACGAAGCCCTTCTACCAGTTCTTTTCAATACGTAACTACAGCATACCATGGTAGTACTTTGGCTTTACAACCGGAGACCTTTGCTAGTTCTTTTAGTTTACGTTCTATAACTAAATCCAAAAATGTGACTGAGGATGAAGAAGAAAAAAAACCTAAACTCTTTGACATAAGCCTTCTTAAAAACCCAGTATATTTGGTTATTTTAATTTCTAACGCTACAAATGCTATCAGTTACACCAATTTCATAATTCTCCTTCCAGCTTATGCTCAAACTTTGAATTTTGACAAGGATAAGGGTGCAATGTTACTTTCTATCGTGTCTGCTCTGGACTTGGCAGGTAGGATTGGTGGTTCTGCACTTTCTGACTTGACCAAATTTCCAAAGTGTTACTATTTTGTTGGAGGACTTTTCATTTCTGGTGTATCACTAGGGCTCATGCCATTTTTTCAAAATTTTGGGATCATGGCTGCTTTTTGTGCACTGTTCGGATTAGCTTCTGGTACTTATGTTGGCATTACAGCAATTGTAATGGCAGACATGTTGGGTGAGGAACGTTTACAGTCAACTTATGGAATGGGACTCTTTGTCAATGGAATTCTGCAACTGATTGGGCCTCCACTGTGTGGGCAATGGTATGAAGCAATGAACTCTTATGTATCTCTATTCATTTGTCTTGGCATGACACTCTCGGCAGGTTCTTTGCTTTGGATCATAATTCCATGTATTAAGAGAAATAAAAATACAATAATTGCATAAAAGTTTTTGTTTTGAACGTATTTAAATAATTATGCAAATAGTAATTTTCATTGTTTATGCCAGAAAAAATCAAAATAGAATAATATTCTCTGTGAGTCATATATATTTCAAATTCAAGGAATAAAATTATCTGTAGAGATTTGAAATAAATGTTAAATTGATATCACAGGTCTGCATTTCCTCAAATATTATTTCTATTTTTGGTTTTTTGAAACCATTTTTGTTATTGAAATCAACTTGGTGAAAAACAGTATGTTGTACTTAGTTGTTTGGCATTCGCTAAAAAAATGTAATATTGCTGTAGTATGAGAACCTTACCTCCATCTGCGTGTAAGTACAAGTTTTTACTATGTTGGAATATGTTTGCCACTTTTTTATAGTCGCCATCTTTTCATCTGCAGTACCTGTGAATCCTGCTATTATTATATGCTTTGTTATTTCTTCTAGGCATTCGATTATGATTTTGTAGAAACTGTAAATGTGAACAGTGTCGAAAAAACAAATTTTAATTTGTTTTCTTTGATTTTAATTGGGAATAAACCCTGAAGTAAACTAAAATTTTGATCAACCGATTATGGAGCTTGATCTACAAATTCATTTCTGATTATTTCATAATGACTTCGAATCCATATAAATTCAACTAATTTCAATTGGGTCTTGGCTCAAGGATCGATTGCAGGTGATACTTATCAACTGATAGCTGAGGATAACTTAAAATTGCTCCTGGAAGTGTTCAGTGTATGTGCAATTGTAACACTGATGTAATAGTGAAGTAAAAGTTTTTGGGAAATAACGATTTTGGCTTTCTACTTCTTCATTTTTATAAAGAAAATGTGCGAAATTTTCGAAGGCAGGAAAAATAAAATCAACTTCTCGCAAAGATGTGTAGATCATAAAAGTTACTTTCAGATACAAACTGGAAGAAAAAGTCCTCCTGAAACAACAACTTTCATATGAACATTGAATTATATGGAAATTACTAATTTTCATTCAGTTTGTATTTCAAACATTCATCATCAGCACCAATCTGAATAAAATAAGTTGGAGAACTCAATTCACTCATAACATTACCACTCTATGTGCCACATGAGTTAAATCTATTCGTGTCACGGTGACAGTACTTAATGACATTCATATGGTTATTTGATTCAATCCCAGCCATAGGAATCTTTTTTGAATTGATAATGGAGGGCCTTTTTTTCTTTCAGTTTGTATCTGAAAGTAACTACACATCTCTGTGAAGTTTGTTTTGAAATAAATCACTTTCTTCCCCCTTCTCTCCTTCGAAAGATTCCATATTTTTTGTGCAGAGATGGAGAAGTAGAAAGCCAAAACCTTTCTTTCCCGAAAACTTATCTTCCCTAATAGTATAGCCCTTTTAATTTGGACAAGATTCGGCTGCACTTTAGTTATTGCAACCACGCCCACAAAGGGGTGCGGCATATCAATGGAAAGAGGGTGACGAGAGGAACGGGATGGTAGGGGTTTTGCATTAATCAATTTTTTTTCCTTTCCTCGCTGTGAAACCCCCACCATTATGTTCCTCGCTTCCCCCCTTTCAGTTGATATGCCACACCCGCTTGTGAGTGTGGACCCAATAACTAAAGTCCTGCCCAAGATTCGGCTGGGATTAAATCAAATAAGCGAATGATTGTCATTATGACACGGGTAGATTCAATTAAACCATGACATATAGTCGTAATGCTATAAATAAATTGAGTGCTTCATTTTATAATATTATCCAGATTGTTGCTGTGATGAGGCAACAACCATGGTATACGTAAAACAGTCAATCTTCAAAAGTCCTCAGCAACAACTCAAATTTTTGTTTTTTTATATTTGAAAGTGATTACTGAAATATTTATAGCTCAAAGAAAATGGTATTCATATGTAGATGAGCAATGCAGTTGAAATAAAATAGATTCTTCGAATGTTAGAAACCTATTTGGAGAAGAAACGATTGAACTGGTCTAAACAAGGTCAAGTGGAAACTAAGGAGAATGGAAAAGTGTGTTACAATGTGTTATGGAAACCCGAAGGAGAAACAGAGAGGATTGTAAAAAAGTATTCCAAATACTAGTGTTATTAATTTCATCTTCAGATAATGTTGAATAAACTCACAAATATTTTCCAAAATAACTTACAAAAGTTCAACTACAAGTTGAAGGGTGTGTCAATAGACTCCAAATGTAAAATATTTCAGAGGTACCTTTTTTTATTTGAAAACGTTCTAAAATACTATACAAAAATGTATATGTAAAGTAAGTTATAGTTTGTGTACATCAGATTAACAAAAAATAAATGACAGTATGTGGTAAAAAATTATTGTTAAACAAAACAAAATGAAAATATGAAAGCATGATGCATTTTTTTCTAATTATGAGCCTACCTTATAATCTTCTGAAAAATCTACCAAAAAGAATGTTAAAATAAACAGGTCAAGACTTATTCATCCATCCAGAATTGTGATTTGATATATGCAGCTCTGCTGAACATTGTGAATTTAGGTTAAATTTAATTTTTCATTCATCTCAGGTTTCCTTCTTCTACTCAATATTATGTAGATGACTAACAAGATTAAATGAATTTCTTCATTGGAAATGTATATTTTTCTTGGAATAATTGAATTTCAGTAATTAAACCTCTGTTTCAACCATTCTTCTTTGATATATTTCAGTAGTAAATGTTATGAAGATTGTCATGAGACTTGACTCACTCTATAAGTACCTTGATCACCTAATTAGGTTTCCAAGTAACCATCTTTAATTTCAGATTCAGGTGATCTAAAATCATCTGACAGTGTTGCTGCATATCTGGAGTGACTTTGGATAACACTTCATCATCTTCATCTTCTTCTTTCTTTACCTTTTTCTTCTTATTTTTACAATTTTCTTTTTTTAAATCATCGTCATCTTCATTATCACATTCGCTTATTCTCTTTTTTATCTGAAAATTTTTAGTGCTTGTGAGTGAATGTTTGGAATTCATATCTTTTGAATATACTAGTTATGACATTTTGAAACTTCAAGATATTTTAACAAGGTTTAGAAGTTTTGTCTTCATAACATATCTTCAAAAGTCAAACAAATAGCTACAAATGATAATGTTTCAAAGTGTTTAGCAAAATACTGATGTGAATATTCAAGAGCACTATCCCACTTCCTCAGCTTTCTAGATATCAATTAATTTTTGATACTCCCATTTTTCCAGTCTTTTTTTTCAACTATCATCTGCACCCTAATGAAGTTGTTAACTATATCATAAATCAGTAAACTCAGGCTTCATTTGACTTGACCCTCGGAATGCTCAGGCTATTTATTTGGAAACTCATGTGGAGAACAATTACATTCGTTTTGGGAAGGAGCAAGCCCGATTTCTTTGTTTTCTTAGTTAGGTAAGACAGGTAATGACAACAGAATATGAAATATATTTCAGATTCGAGTTATTTCATAGATTGGTTTGTTTTGTTAGAACTGAAGTTCGTTCACATTTGAAAATATTCATGAGTATTCAGTATTACTTCAATGTTAAGAGTTTCATTACAATTGAATGAATTAATATTTCGTACTCGATTTCATATAATATCTCATTGTTCGTTCATAATTTTCAATGTTGAGTGATAACTGTGCGCCAAAAGCTATTTGAAAAAAAAAATCAATAATTGCAGTGATAAAAAATGAATTGTTTGTGAAAAATGGGAATGACTGATATACCTTTGAAAATAAAAATATTCAGTTTTGTTAACCCTCAATACTCTCAGAATAACTTAGCGGTAACATCAGAAGTCCTGACACTACACTACCTACTCGATTCGGTAACAAATCTAATGCAGCCTTAGATTTCAGAGAAACTGAATGACATTCAACTATCTTATACAGCCAAACTTCTTTACATGTACTCCTAATCTTTCCCTAGTTGGAAAACCTGTAGGCAGTACAATTTAAATATTAAGTTTCCTATACATTATAAATTCTATTGTGAATGTACCTATGTACTGTTCAATGTTTTATATTATACTATAATATATAATTAATATCATATATGATCTATATGAGACTAATCTACAAAAATTTGGACTTACTTTCTTGATATGTTTATCATATTCAAGGGCATCATAGTAATTTGGCTTTTCTCTTCGAACTCTAGCTGTACGCCGCCTATAATCAGCTTCAATTGCAAACTCTCTAGCAATGCGCTTTGCATTGTAGAAGAAGTGTCCACAACGGCAAGACTTACAAGCTACAGGTACCTGAAACGTTTTAAATTTCAATCCTTAAAACTCTTCGAAATCGTAATGTTTACCTGTTGCTTACAGGAAGGGCAAATTTTGGCAATCATGGTTTTCTTGGGCATTGTATATGTTGAGTATTTCGCAATAAATGTCTTGTCATGATTTTCACATTATTTTTCTGATGTTAAAGTCGCTTTTGAATAATGAAAATCTCACTCTGGCAATAATGTGTATACAAATAAAGTCACCAAAAGCAAAGGAAAAGGACGGCAAGTTCCGAAATGTTCTTCAACTTATTATTACAGCAATATCTTTGACAAAACACCACCACTTTTATGAATCCAATAATTATTTACACAAGGACGTCAAACATTTTGGATTCTCCATATAGTTAATCTCAAAAAATTCACCTAACAACGTAAATAAAGGTCACAAAAGTTGTGATTTCACAGGTCCCAAAACAACAGAATAATTGCTTAGTATTCTGTGTCATAACACTTGTGATCTGTGACCTAACCTAACCTAACCTTTTCATGGTAGGTTTGTTCTGGTTCTAACATCCGAAACTGTTTGGAAACTGCGCAAGACATGGTGCGTACAAACAAAAAATCTCAAACAGTCCGAAATAGTCTCGGAAAATTGTCTCGGACACTTGTTTAAACCAGAACGCTTTTGAGGAGACCACTGTGCCACCTATCGTATATATGATGAGATGAAGACAAGAAAATACTATCAATCATGTCCATTTTGTTATGTAGCGTATCCTTATAGTCAGTTCAAATGTTATCTACCCTCAATAATCAATTATTCAAATCAAATAAATAAAAAAACATCCTAGCAAATAGCCCAAACAAATTTCCACACTAATGCGCATGAGCAACGGGAGCAGTTCTCAACAGTTCAGCCTCAAGACTCGAGGCCAAGAACGATTCGGGACGGTTCAAAACAGTCGGGGCGGTTCATTTCGCAGTCGAAACCAGAACAGAGGATTCATCAGTCCGAAATCATCCTCAATAAACCAGAACGCTCTATATCAACTGCGCATGATCCTGACATCCTAGAACCTGAATTTCGTAGAACCAGAACAAACCTACTAGGTGTTCTACTGATGAAACTAGAGGTATGGACGGTGGAAGTAAGGAGAACCATCTCAAGTGGAAGTTTAGCTGGAAAGTCTTCGCTAGTAAATGAGAAATTATAGTTCAAAATTCGACCAACATGGCATTAACATCATAGTGGGAGTTTCTACTTTCGTTTTATCTGACTCTCCCTATTCTTCAACTTTTAGGCTTCATTTCAAATTTACACTCTTGTTGTAATCGCGATTCTCTCATTTAATGGCTTCGGATGGACACTTTTTGACACACAGAGATCGTTCTCCTTACCTCCACCCTAACTACAGGAGCGTCGTTTCGCACCGAAACTACACGGGTTCTGTCCACGCTTTCTGGCGCCAAATGTTCCAAGAGTTAATGGATTTGTCCTTCAGGATACCTAATAAAAGGTAGACTGGAACGTCTGGAAAAATTACAAACGAAATATTATTTCAAAATTCTCATAAAAATAACAGCAATCAAAACACCTCAAGCAATCCGTTTGTTTGGATTCAGCATTTTGGTCATTCAAAGATGTGATGTTAAAAATAGAGCAGTTTTAATGAGTTCTGTGCATGAACAACTTCTTTGGATTGGTCACACTGCATCATAAACCAATTGCCACTGTTTGGTTGGTGCACCTGCTTAGTTGATATTTTTGTAGCCACCATTATATGGCTTGGTTAAAAAGTGTGTAATTTTTTATTATGAAAATAATTTATTTCACATGGTATGTTGCCAAAATGTTTTCGATTGATTCTGAAATTTTCCTTGTAAATAGCGGATTATGAAATGCCTTTTTCCGTCATAAGTTCAAGAATCCGTGATAAAAGTGATGTATTTCGTGTTTAATAACCAAACATTGGAAAGAAAGCCGGAATATCTAATATCAAGGAGATTCTAGAGATCTTCCATATATTTCACTCAGAATTGGTAACCAGGAGTACTATTCTGAATGTCCAAATTGTCCTCGGGAAGAAAGGCACATACAAATGTGTGTATTGTTATCTAAACATGACTAATTTCATCCCGACTTGTACATAAGTACATAGGTAAAAATCTGTGTTTTTCTGCATGTCTCCAAGTAGAAAAGATGGAGAAATATACTAGTGATGCCTTACAAACTGCCGAACAGGCAGCAACTGAATTACCGATGGACGTGGACATAATTCCTGAAGTTCAGAAAAGCAGTGATGTAATGAGAGACTTGGATGATGGAAGTGGTTCAATCTGTGACACATCCATCATTAATCAACCCATGACAGTCAACCCTGTGAGTTCAAGTTCTGCCCTTGAATCTGAGCTATTGACTGAGATAAGTGAATCCTTATTCGAATCGCAATGCGAATCTGCTCCTGTACAAATTAAAGATATGAGTCATGGGCCAGCAATCAGTTTGCAATCAGAATTAGAAAAATTACAAGATTCTTCAAAGGATATTGTTGATAGTATTGTAGAAAATGTTTCGGAATCAATTGAGGAGAATGATACAGTCAATACAGCTGAAAATATTAGTACTGGGAATATTTCAGTCACTCAAGAAGTATGTCAGGAAAATATATCTGATGTATTGGTAGACAAAGAGTCAAACCACCAAAATGAAAATGCAAATGAGTCGCTTGAAAAAACCCTGAACAGGAGAGAAGTTAGTAATATAGAATCATCATTAACTCCAGAGTTGGATGAAATTATAGGAGATAGTGTCTTGAAAGTTTCAGAAAGTTTATCAGAAATTCCAAGTGAAAGTTTTCCCGAATTAGTATCTGAAACAGATAGATCTGTAGATAATTCCGTTGATTTGAATACTGAAAGAAGGAAAAATGAGACTGACAAGGGTTTAAATATGAGTGCAGAACATGAAAATTGTGAAGTAGAAAGTGTCAATCAGAATATTGAAAAAGTAATTCCCACTGTAGAAAATGATAAAGATATAGATGAAACTTTGAATATCGAATCTGTAAGTAGGGAAAGTGAGAATGAAAAATTTGATGAAAATAAAATTGTGGAAAAACATATAGAAACGAATTTTATTGAAGAGGGTTGTAATACAGACAGTGAAAAACCTGAAAGTGAACGAGAAAACACTGAATTTGTCCAAGTAAGTACCGAAAATGAAAAGGAGTTGGAGAATGAGAATAACAGGAGGATTGTGGAAGATGACCCTATCGCTTCAGATGCTTTTGAATCTATCAACAGTGAACTTCGTGAGGGTGCAGATGAAGAGTTATGTATTATTCCAGATACAGAAAGAGAAATTTCCCAGGTAATTATTATTACATTGCTTAATGGAATCACAAAATCCCATATGAAATTCCTAAAATTGCCATATTCAGCAATATTTAAATATGACAAAGAAGACCTACAAATATGCAGTGAATGTAAATTGGTAAGTAGAGGAAACCTGAGCATTTTTTTGATATTGAATTTAAATCATTTTCAGAAAAGGAAGGTGTTATATTACTATACTACATCGGAAAGTGGTACATATTTTCTTTGCGACGACAATTGTCTGGATGTCTTCAAGAGTAACCAGCAAGACAAAGTTGCACTGAATTGGGAGGAAGGTGGTTTGAGGGTGAAGAATTTCTCTGGAGTTAGAGTTTCTGAAGTTGGAGTTTCTGGAGTTGGAGTTTCTGGAGTTAGAGTTTCTGGAGTTGAAATTCCTGGAGTTGAAGTTTCTGGAGATAAAGTTTCAGGAGTTGGAGTTTCCAAAGAACCACCATCTCTTTCCTTCATTAGAAAATGTGCCACATGTAAAAAAATCACAAATGACATAGAAAATAATTTAACTTGGGAAATAATGGACTTCTGCAATGAGTTTTGTATAACAAAATATCAAAAAGAAACTGGTTCACATTGTTCGAGTTGTCAAGGAGAAGTGCACTCTAATTCTCTTGGAAAATACTGCGTTAGGTTTGGCAATGATATAAGACAGTTTTGCACTAGTAGTTGCCTTGAGAAATACAAAAAAGGCCTCAAAGTTTGTTCGTACTGCCAAAAGGATATGTCTGGGGGAACTACTGGTTTTGTAGTTCCTGTAGGAGATAAGGGTCAATATAAGGACTTCTGCAGCCAACTCTGCATGGAACAATATGACATTATGACTAATGATCGTCCTCCAAAGGTTTCGCCAGGTACCATCTGTTCTGTGTGTAAATCAGTAAAACCAATCACCATTGAATTCAAGTTTGATGGATGCCCAAATTATTTTTGTGGAGAACCCTGTTTTGTAGCATTCAGTTTTGTTAATAAAATATCACCGGGAAAATGTGCCTTGTGTCAAAGACATTTTCCAAAGTCTACTTTAGAGAAATACACAATGTATTATGATAACGTTCAGCATAGTTTCTGCTCCAATAGTTGTGAAAATATCTACATAATTGCTCGTCGAAAAATTGTGCCTTGCAGTTGGTGCAAAGTAAAGAAGTATAACTTTGACATGATACGGAGGTATTCAAAAACAGGACCAATGATTAATATGTGCAGTGTGAATTGCCTTAGTCACTACAGAGTATCTCTCGAAACTGCCAGCTCTCGTCAAACATGTTGCGATTTATGTCAAAAAGTTACTCAACCCATGTATCACTTGACCATGTCTGATTCTACAATGAGAAATTTTTGTTCATACAATTGCGTAATGACTTTCCAGAACCAGTATCCCAAACAACAGTTCAATCTGAATAATTTAGGAGAATCTACTTTTCCAGTACCAACAGGACCCCCAAAGAAGAATAAGAAATTTCTTGGTTCAGATTCACGTAAGCTTTATTACTTATGCCATTCTTTTACAATAAAAATCAACTGATCTCGTATAATCCATAAGTTATACATGAATTCCTTATTTATTTTGAATATTTTGTAGCATACTTTGTTTCATCAACAAATTGAATAAAATAAGATTTTTCAATTGGTACCTACTTCATTTACTTGCCTCTCAAGTTGAGTTTTTCCTTGCTTTGAGGGAAGTATATAATTGTAGATAATCGGAGTATGGATGGATGTAGCTTTGTTATCTTATCAAAAAGTTTCAGCAAAAGTATAAAACATGTAAATATGATGTGTAGTTTTCATTAGTAGCAGACTATTTCAGTTATTTGTGCTCCATTATATGAAGTGCAAGGATTATAGCAGGTTGTATTGAAGGTTGAGAAAATTTTTAGCTGTATGTCAGCTCTTTGTTGATCATTCTTCTCTTTTATCGAACACATCACTCAATCACTTTTGATCACACTTGGCTATAAATCACACATTTCCGCTGTAATTCATAAATCTATGGAGAGGCTCTCTCTATGGTGAGAAAACCACCTGCGATCTTACTGATATAACTTTTATTAAATCTCTCAATTTGTCTCTGATCTCACAGGGGTGACCCTGTGGTCCCCCTGATCGGGGGACACTGTTCCACAGGGCATGTGAAAACACCTCTCCTGAACCTGAAACATGTCATATACTTCTCTGGAATATTAATCATATATTATGTGTGATTGATGACTTGTTTACTTTACGGTAATTCATGATCTCACTTAAATGAAATGAATAAAAACACTTTTGTCTAAATACCACTGGTAAATTTCATTTATACGACCGGTTTCAGGTTTGACCCCATTATCAAGTATACTTGATAATGGGGTCACCCGAAACCGGTCGTATAAATAAAATTTATCTGTGGCTTTTAGACAAAAGTGTTTTTATTCATTTCATTTAATTATTCACATATATAAGTAAATAAATAAATTAGTAATGAACATTCATGTTCAGTTAAGAAACGTTGTAGTTTTCAATTTCCAACAGCTTCATTTTGAATAATTGAACAGCTCATTGTGTCAAACTCCACTTTTGATTTTTAATTTTTCCTACAACTACACATTATTTCAATAATTATGGTGGCAACAATAATGAAAGTGAATTTTATTGTCAGTAAAACGTGTTTTCGATGGATCTCTGTTGATATTCAAGAAATGTTCTGAATTTTATTAATGATATATGACTTTTGGGGCCTTTTTATTCAGATACCCCTAATTTACACTAACTAAGTAATTATTCAATATTGTACTGTATATACATTTTTTTTATTCCAGCTGGTCCAATGGGGGATGTTCCACCGCTTCCAGTTATCTCCAGTGTGCAAAGTCTTGCAGCAAACACCAATGGTAGCCTTGGATCTCCCCAAACCCTACCCCCTACACTTGCTCCAATTCAAACCTTGAACACAACCATGAACACAAGATCAACCAGATCAAAAGGAACCCCCAATCCTCAAATAATGAATTCTTCCCCACAAGTTATAAATTCCTTGTCAGAAATTCCCTTTCAAGTTCAGATCAAACATCATTTCATTGTACGTCCTGCTTCCATGCCTGAGCAAAGGAATGTTGGAACCATGTGCTATACCAAAAAAGCGAATAAATCCACCACGATGAAACCCATTATGGTTGACGAAGAAATTCAAACAGAGGAGAGAGAAGCGCAGAAAATCCTCATTCCTGTTCCTGTTCCTATTTTAGTTCCAACCCCAGTGCACATGTACAGCGTACCTACGCCTGTCCCTGTACCGATTCCTATCCCTGTTCCAATACCCATATTCATTGCTACTACAAGAAATTCTGCAGCTGGTATAATGAAAGAAATTAAGGTAAGTTAACTCTCAGGGAAAATATTTGTTCCATTGTCTTCATAGACGTGCAATTATGTACTAGTTTTATTATCAGTTTCAATAATTTCTTTATAATGATGCTCAATCAATTTGTTAAAACCAATAAAACTTTATTTGATTTGAAGCTTACTTCATTCAGGTATATAAGCATTCAAATCAGCAAATTGAGTGCTGTAGTCTTTTATCATATGATATGCTTTTTCATAATTTCCCATTTCAGAAAATTCAAAAGATTCCTACTGATCCATATGAAGCTGAGCTGCTTATGATGGCTGAAATGGTGGCTGAAGAGAAGAAAGAAGATGTGACAGACTCTGAAAGTGACGTTGAAGATACGGGTGGTGCAGAGGATAGCTACAGTCCTGAGCCAGTGGATGCTAACAATACTTTTGGTGATGATATGCTTCAGATGGCATTGAAAATGGCCACCGAACTAGATGAACCGGCAGTAGATCTCGAAGGTGCTCTAACAGCCAATACTATAACAGGTGAAATATGCTCCTCATTGAATATTATATGTTTTTTATTTGAAAGCTTTGATGGCAGTAGTGCTTGCAGTTTACTCTTTTAGTGCTTGCAGTTTACTCTTTAGTCAGTTCCCTCCATAACTGGCTTTGTTCATTATAAGGTGAAGAAGATTCATTTCTTTTTGGCTGAGTTACTCTCAATATTCTCTAGGTCAAACTAGTTTGCCAACTTATGCATGGGTTATTTGTATGATTATCTGTATGTAAGATTAACAACTTAGACAGGATAGTCGAATTTGAATAATTTTCAGACTTTGTTGATCACAGACTTAGACAAAAATGATGGGCAAAACCCAAAATTAGAAGATATAGAACAAAACTTACAATTTCAAGTACTTCTATACAAAGAAAAAATAATTTGGGAAGGAATTGAATAACTCAAGAATGGTTGTTATCATCTGATTGTAGAAAACCACAAAAAATTATAAAAAAGGTTCGTAGCAAAAATGTGCCTTGACAGAGTTTTCTTGCCTTCAGAAGTTTTTTCTGCAGCACATAGTGTCTGTTTCGAAATAAGCAAAATTGGTTAAAGAGAACAAGATATAGTATTGTACACAAATAATTGCTTATAGGAATAAAAAGATTTACAAACAAAAAGAAAGTTTAAGCAGTACTTTCCCATCTATCAAAACAAACATTTTCAATTTACTATAATTGAACACACACAAATATCAATACAACAAAATTTTATCAAACCTGGATAATCAAAATATCCAGAGGCGTTTTCAACCTTATAATTAATGAAATAAAAGGTCCAATTTTCATAATGAAACATTTTTACTGTCAAGTTTTAATGATGCAGCCTCATACAAACAAACAATATTGCAGAAAATAACACTGGATTCGTTGAGGAAATATATTTCCAAGGCTGTTGAAATCTGTATGCTCAGAAAATAAATTTGGTGTTGGAGCACCACAAATTACTTGTAAAATTGGGCAGCAGTAAACCAAATGTCAATTAAAAGCTTCACTTTACATTCTCCAAAAACAAGTTTATGTTTATGCATGAAAGACAAAATCATAGAATGCAAAGCTGCTTTGAATTTGCACAACCATAATTATGTTCAATCCAACAAGCAGGTCACATATTGTGGTAACATATTAATAGATGAAAATCAGTAGCAGGAAAGGACAATATTACAAATCAAAGCGTATCAAGGAGTGATACCCATGTATAAGAAAATATACATATACGAAAACTATGTTCTGGTAAATGCCTGCCGGAAAACATCTAATTCCCCAGCTTATACCACGTTGGATATTGAATTACATCCGACAGACATGTAAGCAAGATTCCTCACAGAGGTTGGTCTCGCAGATGTTTCTCGTTCATCCGGCAGCAGGACTATGCTGAAATTATTCGAGTAGATCACCTAAAGACCAGTTTTGAGGTATTATCTCTCATCAGTGCAGGAAAGATCTAATCCAAACAGCAAAGTGCCTGGGAGTAGATTAATTTCATGCGGCTTGACTGCATGTATGAAATATCGTAATGATCAAAGTGTAAACTTTCACTACCGGGTTTGCTGACCGTGATTTGTAAGTTTTTTATTATTGGTGATGAGAAATTGATAAAATGTCTGGTTTTATTCCATAGATGTTGGGTGTGGCCCCGTTCTTATCGGTTGAATCTAGTGGCAATTTGTGTGCATTTCCTTGGATTAAGTACTGAAAAACTAAAAGGGGGTATTTTTGATGGACCCCAAATATATCAACTAATTGAGAATACTACAAGCATGTATCAACTCTGATTTTCTACTTCTCCATCTTTATAAAAACAATGTGAGAAACTTCTGAAAAAAAGAGCAGTTAAGTTACAAATAATCTCTTTACAAAGATGTGCAGATCATGCACAGAAGTTTCTTTCGGATACAAACTGGAAGAAAAAGCCCTCCCAAAACAACCTATTTTAATATGAACATTGATTTACACGAAAAATACTTTTTTTCATTCAGTCTGCTCTCCAAACATTCGTCATGGAATTGAAACATATATCATCCCCATAAGCCATTCACCAATAATAGTATAAGGCTCTAAGCCCACAAGAGTTTTTAGAAAATAATCTATCCTTTTGTTATCATTATATCGTTTGAATGTATAAAAATAGAATATTATTAATTGTATTACAAACTGAATGGGAAAAAGTTATTTTCAAGTAATTCATGGTTAATATGAAACTAGTTGTTTCGAAAGGGCTATTTCGTTCTGTTCTATAATTTGAAGGTTTCAATTGTCAAATAATTACATCTTGGCATGGATTATTGCTTAACTTGAATTCCAAGACATTTCAACATGGACCGAAATGAGAAGGGGAAAGAAGATACCTTGACTTCATTGGAAGTATCCCAAATATACCTTATAAAATATCACAGGATAAGGTGGAATTAATGAATGTCAAGAAACTCCAGATTAGAAACAATAGATATGACTTCAATAATATTATCACTACCAATAAAAAAAATGGAACTGACAAATACAAGAAAAATTTCCAACATCTTCATACAAAAAAATCCATTCATCGATTGAAAGGCAACTCACCGAAATAGTAAAAATGCCAACAGAACATTACGGAACCCATGCTCAAACTGCCTAGGATTAGCTGTAGGGATAATGTCTGTTAAGTATCTGGAAAAATTGAAGCCCTAAATCACATCATACTGGAATGCCCAATAAAACGGATACCAAATCTTCACTCATGTCAAAAATTTCTTTGAACTCCACTCCTTTCGAGGTTTATTAACCATAACAAAATTGATATTGAATAACTTATAACTTTTTTGCAGATTCCTTTTTTCTTTCACCTGGGTTCTGCAATCCGAGGCAACATTTCTGGTACATGTACAGCTTCTCCGTTGCCCCGGATCGAGAAGAATATATCTTTGTTGTGCTGTGTCTCTAATAACCTTACTAATCTATTCTGCTCAACATTCCAATAGCACACGTATGTTATCCACTACTCTTAATTAATTTTATATAATGATTTCAAAAACATTTTTGTAGTTTTCCCTGAAGATAATATAAATAAGAATCGAAATATTGGAAATGAGTGTTGTAAGAGTACACATTTTTCGCTTGCTGCGTACCCAAATAGTTCTTACATTCATATCTTAACAAGTCATTAAAGACTACCCTTCTACTATATATACACACACATACACACACATAACCGTAGCTGAAGATCATTAGAGTAATTATGGAGGGTTGTCTGGGATGGCGGCTGACAGGGTATAATGGTAGAGATTGTAAAGTAAAATTCAAAACTTTACAGCTATGAATGAGTTTTTGTTGGCCACCTCATGAATGCATTTAATTTGCTTACTGTAGCTCCTCAAGGTGGTGAACCTCACGGCCAAGAGGAAAACGTGGATGATCCTCAACCAATGCATCATCATATGATGGAAAGAAGTCCTTCAGTAAGAGGCAGGAAGAGAGGTATGAGACAACAAAGGGGGGGAGCAAAACGTGGAAGGAGGATGTCTCATCAACAAGTTGATGTACCAATGATGCAACATCACCAAGTACAACAGGCTCCACCTCCACCAGAACCAACAGAAAAACCGGATGCTAATATGTGTCTAAAGGTAATTTTTGTACTGACTCTTGAGTAGGATTTGCTTCATGATCTTTTTTTTTAGTATACTTTTGGAGTGAACGCTTGGAAGCAGTGGGTTACCACAAAAAACACAGAGTTGGAAAAATCATCACGTAGAGTGAAACTTTTCAAAACAGAAATATTACAACTCACTGCTGATGAATTGAATTATTCTCTTTGTCTTTTTGTAAAGGAAGTGAGAAAGCCCAATGGTGCAGAATATGCACCTGATACTATATACTATTTATGCTTGGGTATTCAGCAGTACTTATTTGAAAATGGCCGTATTGAAAATATATTTTGTGATCCTTATTATGAAAAATTTACTGATTGTTTGGACGAAGTTGCCAAGAAGTTCTCAGTTCTCTACAATGATTCTCATTACATAGTTACTAGAGTTGAAGAAGAACATTTATGGGAAAGTAAACAGTTGGGAGCTCATTCTCCTCACGTATTACTGAGTACTTTGATGTTCTTCAATACAAAGCATTTCAATCTAACGGTAACTTACTTCGGAATAACACATTTTCGCCAATGTGATTCGGTTGTTTTTTTAGAGTGTTGATGAACACATGCAGTTGTCATTTTCCCACATAATGAAACACTGGAAGAGAAATCCAAACCAGCCAGGTGCCTCTAAAGTTCCTGGATCACGGAATGTTTTGTTGCGTTTCTATCCACCACAGAGCGCTATTCGTAAGATAAGAATGGATTCTCTAATGTTCTTATATTAAAAATTTTACTTTTTTAGAAAACAATGCCAGGAAAAAGAAAGTCTATGAGCAACAAGAAAATGAAGAAAATCCACTTAGATGTCCTGTTAAACTTTACGAGTTTTACTTATCGAAATGGTAGGTGGTTTCATTCAAATACTTTTCTCTGAAGAAAATTTGAAACTTTTAACAATATAGGTTCTATCTTCTGCATTGATGATGTGTCATAGCAGTCCATTTGTTGTTATACCAGAAACTGTCAAAAGTTTTTTGAGATGATATAGTTTAAGATATTTTCACAATTAAACAAATTGACTGAAAAAGATTTGTGTAGTTGATAAGTATTTATTTTTCAGTCCCGAAAGTGTCAAAACAAGAAATGATGTCTTCTATTTGCAACCTGAACGTTCTTGTGTTCCAGACAGTCCTGTTTGGTACTCAACCATGCCGTTACCGAAAGAAGCTCTGGAAAAAATGCTCCATAGAGTCAAAATGGTGAAGGAGATAAATGTTGCTCTTCTGACAAGTTAAACAACATTCATAATGAGACTTTTTATGAATGTTTAGAATTTCTAATGTTGTACGTTAGGTAGTTTTGAAAACATTCAATTTCAGTATGAAAAAAGTACACTCAGAAGCAACTGGATTATTCAATCTCTCACTCTTCTGTAAACGTGCAGTAATACAAATTATATTTGTACTATTTGCATTTTAGGGTATTTCATATATATGAATACCTGATTAAACCTTTTTATCTGGATATCAAATTGACATGTACTATTAAGAATTTTTATGTAAAATATGATTCATCAAATATTAATTATTGAGTTTTCAAATATTTGTATATTTTTTTTTGGTCAAAATCTTGCAGGTATCTGTTCGAAATGAATTAAGATATATGAAATGTAATTGTAACTTTATATGTTATAATAGTTTTTGTACAAATATTGTATAACACTATTATTTACAAAACTAGAAAATAGAGCATATTGATTTATCAGTTTTTTTCATTTCAAGAACTAATCAAAAGAAAGACCCCTGCTACTATTACTGTGAAATGAGAGGAGAGATTAGACGTATTTAATGTATATTCTTTTCACAAATTAGATAAAAAACTTTTAACCTACCAACATCCTATACTATTCTGTGTTACGAACTGCCCCAATGCAAATATTTTAAGTGGTCTGGAGAAGGGAATATCTTCCAAACAAACGAGTTCAAAAAAGAAGGTGAATGTTGAAATTTCGCGGGCTACCTACATTCGATTAGCAATTTTTTTTATATTGGTTTACTCGTTTTGAACATATGTTCACAGTTTCAGCATGTTCAGTTTGTTGGTGAAAGGTGTAAAAGTGTTTTGCGTGTTCGGTGATTTAATACTATCAAACAAAATGGTTAAAAGAATTTGCGTCAAATTTTGTGTAAAAATTGAAATTGAGTGCTCAAAAACACTCGAAATGTTGATAGTGGCATACGGTGATCTTTCACAGAAGATAGAGAAGATGTGAATGACGACGCTCGCTCTGGACGCCCCAGCACATCAACAACCGATGATGCTGAGGATGTCGACATATCGGCTCTCCATTTTTTTTGTTAATTTTGGGCGTGAAACGTGTCGCAGCGAGTTCATTCCAAAATTGCTGAATTTTGATGAAAAAAGAACCGTCGCGTGAGCATCGTTCAGGAATTGTTGAATGTCGTCAATGGCGATCTACAGATTCGCCTTAAAAGGTCATAACTGGTGACGAATCATGAGTATAGGGTTATGACATCGAAACCAAAGTCCAATCGTTGCAATGAAAGAGCCCAGGAGAGCCAAGACCAAAAAAAGGACGCCGCCAAGTTCGATAATATGTCAAGGTTTTGCTCACTGTTGTCTTCGATAACCTTGGCGTAGTGCATCAGGAGTTCTTGCCACCTGGTCGTACAATCAATAAGACGAAACGGACTGGTTTAAGTTTGACGTTAGTTGTGCCACTAAGTGTTCCGGCGATGTCTTGAATTTATTGGAGACACCCGATACTTTGTTTTATGAAAAAGAGGACATTGGCATATCAATATCTTCAGATGATGTGGTTCTGCAGGTTTTTCCTGCAGCTGAAAAAGCAAATGCGCCAGTGAAATTAATAAAGTCGGCCCCTCCGAGGCAGACCACTTTTGAAGAGGGTAAAATAAAAAATTGATGATTTTTTTAAATGAAAACTCACATCTTGTGAACAGCGATACAAGTAGTCTAATAATTGTTTTGAGGAGATATAAACAGTGAGAAAATCAATATATCAAATAAAATCAAGATTAAAAGAATTTCACCCAGTTTTTTCAATTTCCAAGAAAGCCAGCTGTGTGGGGCAAGGTAAATATTTAGAAAGCAGGGTCAATATATTCGGAATGGTCCTGATGTTTCCTTCAATCCTAGTTCGAGTCAGTAGGTCTGAAGTATCATTTTCTTGCTATTATTTGTTCTAGAAACGGTATCAAATTTCGGCATTTTATTTTTGTGATTAATTTTTTTCATTTTTATTGAGTTGCTTGTGTATGTAATAAATGAACAATTTGTATTTGAAATAAACTATAGAAAATCAAGAAAGTTTAGTTTGTGTAGAATAAAAAAAACGAGCTGACAAATATACCTGAATTAAAATATGATAATACCCCCCACATGTGAAACTCTTTACTATCGGTCTGGAAATTATACTTACCAAGTTAGGTGAACTAGTGTCAATTAAGGTCCTGGTCCAGACGGAATACCAAATATTTTGCTGAGAAACTGTCGATTTACACTTGCAAATCCATTATTAAAAAGTACTGGAAATAAGGTACCCAACATACAGAACTATCGTTCAATTAGTACTATACCTAAAGACCTTGAGGCTATAGTATGTGACAAATGAAGGATTGAGCTAATCATATTCTTATATTCATTGTTCTCACAGTATGTCTTGAGGAAAAACATCATACAATTTTATATGACAAACTGCATCCAATTGGATTCTATGGAAACCTACCAGAATGGCTAAAAAGTTATATTGGCAATATATCTCAATTCGTAAAAGTCTATGAACTTATATCTCAAGACAATATCAGGGTATTATCAGGTGTACCACAAGGAAGTCATCTAGAACAATTTCATTCTAAAATTTTCATTATTGACATCAAATTTAATTTGAAATATACTGTCATCTTACTTTTTAATGATGATTTGAAAACGTTCAAGACATATCAAACAACAAATGATTGCTCAGTATTACAAACTCATTGAGCATATTTGGTAAGCGGTATTCACAAAATGATATGGACCTCAACGTCAAAATATTCCATCACATGTATCTACTTATAATGTTCTTTATCGCCTGAATATTACTGGAGTTTTTTCCCAATACCAAATCGTTATTTTTAACACCTCGACACGTGTTTCGATCACCAATTGATCATCTTCAAAGAGGAAGACTAAAACTCAGTTTCGATTACCAAGTGATCATCTTCAAAGAGGAAGACTAAAACTCAGTTTTAATCTTTCTCTTTGAAGATGATCACTTGGTGATCGAAAGACGTGTTAAAAATAACGATTTGGTGTTGGGAAAAAACTCCAGTAATATTCATTACTACACCAAAGGTTCCAAACAGTGCATCATAAGTTCTTTATCGCCATTTAAAAAAAAATCATTTACCATTTATTATAGGAAAGTTTTTGGATTTCTACTACTTCATCTTTATACAAAAATATGTAATTCTGAAGAATATTGATTTTGAACTTTTCAAAACTCTTGTAGACTTAAAGCCATATATCCTTGATTATCTGCAATTTGTAGTTTATAATTAATAATTAAGTTTTAGTATATTTGTTCATTATTGACTAGCTTTATCATGTATGTATGTAGCGATTTTGAATAGGCACACTACAAAATCGAAAAAATGTAAATATTCAAAGCAATAAAAAACGAATGAAGAAAACGACAAAATGTGAGAAAATGGAGAAATATAAGAACATAGCCTTTCACGTGCGAAATCACGATTATAGAAAATAAAAATCGGAATTTAAGGCCTTGATCAAATGGATTAAACGTTTCGTCAGCTACTGTGGCAGACATCTTCAGTAGTATACGCGTTGACTGGACAAAGATGGTATCTCGAAGTCTCAGCAACGAATTAATAGGGAGATCTCTGCTTACTCGTATTTATACTAGTTGGAGATCATGGGGGTGAGGTGTTCATGTGTCAACAGAACGTGGTATTCAGTACCCTATAATGCTGAAAATGGACATCTCACCAACAGTTCACCTATCAACATCGACCAATCAATAGTATAAATAAGAGTGAACACAGAACTTCCCAGTCAGTTGTTGCTGAGACCTTGAAATACTACTTTCGTCTTCGCATATGCTACTGAAGATGACTGCCACAGTAGTAGACAGTACCACATGTTTCTTTCGACCACGGCCTAATAGCCCGGATTTTTCTCTCCAATAATGGGGAAATGTCATACAGATTCGAAACGAAAATCTATAAATAAAAAACTCTTCACAATTAAATATGTCACCGTTAACTTATGATGACGACAGTTCTGATAATAAAAAATGCATAAAAATGCTCGCAAATATAAGAAAAGTAAAGGTATAGTAAATAATGAAAAAAAATACATGGTATTCATAAGTGGTAAAGAAGAAAATAAACTATTAAAAATTGAGAATATTGAAGATGATCACTTGGTGATCGAAACACGTGTCGAGGTGTTAAAATAACGGTTTGGTGTTGGGAAAAAAACTCCAGTTCCTAACAGTGCATCACAAGTAAAAATTGAGAGTTTTGGTGCCCTCTTCTGAACATACAGATAAATTTACCTACCTGCGAGTCAATGTAAATAACACAAAAAATAAAAATAAAAAAAAAGGGAAGTGCATAGTCCCTAATGAGTTTTTAAATCATAGAAGATACCAAGAATAACAAAGTAAAATGGTTATGGGAAAATTAGACCAGTGTTATTCATGGATGATAGTTGAGGTTCCTCAACAAGTTGGAGGATGGAAAAATACAGATATGAGAACAAAAATACTAAACAACATACGAGGAGAAAAATGTGGATTATTTTTAGTGAGAGTAGAAAAAGTCCTGAGGTAGGTGAATATCAACAACTGGGTTGATTGTGGCCTACAATGTATATACAGCAGTTGTTACTTCATATCTCTCTGTCTGTTTAAAATCTGATTTTCCGTTAATCAGCTGTCGCATTCCTTTGAACAACAATTTTCAGAAGTCGAAACTTGTGCGAGCTAAGCATTAACGAGATCTTACCTTTTAACGTGTGATTCCTAACTGATGCCATTTGTAATTATAAATCAGAGTATTTGAAACAAATCATGGCCTTCAAAACCATGTCCATGGTCATCAATTAGTACAACTTCGATCTTCCAATTGTTGAAAAAGAAGAATACAATTTTATTAACAAACTAGCTTCAACTATGCGGGAGAATAAAAAACAATATAAAAGCTTTTATTTTCATTTTTTTTAACGAAAGACTTGATACATAAAAATTGTATAAAATTTTCACTATTTTTATAAGTAAATTCTAATCAATAAAATATCTGCATGATATATCGACCCAAGATGAAAAGTTATAGTGTAACAGTTTGTAAATGAAATGTACTTCAATACAAAATATTCCAACAAATTTAATAAAATGGAAATCGTAATCATATCAGTAAATATAATTATTATGAATATATTAATTCATTCTTCAAAAATGAAGTCCAATTTAAACCAAATTTTCGAAAATTAGAAGACAACAATGATTAGGTCTCATGTTGCATCAATATTAGTAATCATAATATAAAGAGTACACCTAACAATTTAATTTTTCTTTGGTATGTTTTTTAATTTCGTCAACTGTTTTCATTATTTCATGACTTTCATTTTTGAACTGTAGTAGGTATATAATCATCAAAACTGAAGATAATGGAGCGAGTTCATATCTGTGGTTTAAGTCAATTGACATGTGGTGACGAGTATGTAGGAATTTCTTGTGAATTATATTCTGGTTCAAAAACACTTCCTGGGTTTATTCTGTGTCTACTTTTTATAACATGCTACAAACCCGCTTGATGAATAAATCTCTATCAAGGAGTTGAGACAAGCTGTCTTTGGTTTGTTCTAATTGACAATCAAGTACTCGTCTTCTTTTGCCGACTCCAGTAAAGCGAAGTCTAAGACCAAATTTCCAAAGTTTGTATCGAATTAATATTATTAAATTCTTTTTGTATGAAATAAATGAAATGTTGACTCATTCAATACAATTAATTTTTGAGTCGAATAAAAATATTGCTTCAATAATGAATAGTACTATGCATCACACGTTTCTCCACAATTTAAGTCCTTTAAAATGATTATGTTTTTTTTTGATAAAATTGAATATCGTTATATAAAACTTTCGATATACTTTACATGTACTTAAAATTCTACAGACTGCAAACTGAATACTAACTGCCCACCAACTCGATTTTGCGATATTTTTTTCTTTTATTAGAAACAGGGTCTTTGAACAATACTGGATCTAACCTCAAATTAGATCTCAGAAGAGGCATGTAACCAAAAACAGCCGCGAAAGTATTCAGACAGGTTTGTCTCTGGATGAAGTGATCTGGGTCATTCCAAGGTGACCAACTACCTGCACTAGGTTGCTCTTTGTATTGTTTTCTTTGGGTAACTTTGATTGGCGGTCTACGGGTTACATGGCTCACCAGAAAGTTCATCAATATGTCCTCACAATTTTGACTTTGTTCAACTGTTTTATGCAGCAATGGGCTTAGCCATTCAGTATAGAGAAAATTATAATATCGGTGATAAAAGGCAGCTCCTGTTAAAACAATAGAGTAATCATTGGTCCACTTAGATGTATAACCCCAAGTTGACTTTGAATCATCCCAATAATGGGATCTCCCTGGGTACCCTACAATTCTATCGGGGAATTGCTTCCAAACAGTGAATGCAAAATCAATCTCGTCTGTCGTTAGTGTTGTATCTTCGTCCAACGATAATATTGCTTCAGTTTCAATTTCTTTATGAGTAAAAAAACGCTGTGATATACTCGATTTTGTCTGTTCGTTTCCTATATTAGAATTCAAACTCGGCTGTATAATATGCAAGGGTACATGTAGAGGTAAACCAGGCCACCTATTTCTATTTGTCGGTCGCTTTTCACTAGACCAAACTATCAATATTTTTGCAACATATTTACTTCGGCCAACATAATTCACTAACCTATAAAGTGGAGAATTTGTTGCAAAAGGAACTCCTAGTTGACAATATATTACAGCTGTAAATCCCATCCTTTCGTCTCTTTCAACATGAAATGGAAAGTCCTCTGCTGAGTCCGAGAAAGTTGAAAGGGTTACCAGAGCTCCTGGAAAATTATTCCAAACTCGTCCATCCCTTATGGGCTGTTTTGGAAGTCTCTCACGGATTATTTCTAAAGTTGTATATACGACTTTTTCTATGGAAGAAAAGTATCTATCCCAGAGAACTTGAGTTTGCTGTCGAAGCTGCAAGATTTTGCTTGGCGTCAAGGAACGAATAATATGAGGCACCTGAAATAAAAATTGAGGAAAATTACACAAGCCTACTTGATTTTCAGGAGGAGGTTTCATTTTCGAAACTACGTATCATGATTTTTTTTACATATATGACAAAAACATAAGTTAATTTATGATCCTATTCCTATGCATTTCTCTCTTTCCAACTTTGAATTCACACTTCAAACACAAACTACAGTTTGTAGGTAAAGTAGGGAGCAAATTCGATATTTCTGCAAATGTGTCTATTGCAAACAATTTGTAACAGGGAAAATTACCAGTTTCAAACCATATGACAACATTTTAGTTTCCAAATTCACTAAAACTTTCAAGTTCAAATGGTATTATATTTCATGTGTAAATTAATCTTAATACCTGAAACATCCCTAAATCAAAGTTTTACCTTGCCTCCACCAGTTTACAGCTGAATGATTGCGCTGTATATTCTGACAGTTGACAGATCTGGTTTTGTCCATATAAAACCTTTAGCAATAATATTTGAAATCTGGCATTTTTCTAGCATATGATGAAATGACAATCAATAGAAAAGTTATTGGCCTCTGAAGGGTATCGAGTATATATTTATTTTTCAAAATAGTATCTAACATATTGTCAAGTGGATTCAAAAAGTGTTTCAATGTTGCATTCAGTGCAGTGATTTCCCCTTTTCTGTCATTTTCGCAGCCCTGAAAGGGAATCAAAAACTAACAAAGATTTATAAAGTGGTACTATGAGGGCTAGTTTCAGATATTATATAAATTATGTTTTGGATTTTCAGATATCAAACTCCAGTTTGAACATTCTTGTAATCCTCGTGAACACAAAATCAATATCGAATGTCCTATTTTGTCTAGATCCCTAGATATAGACTCTATCATATTCAACTGAATTAAACTGTTTAACAAATTATCTAAAAGAACAATTCGTTCAGGCCAGTCTCAAATTACCTACACCATAAGTTAATGCACTGACACCTATCAGAAAATAACTACCCCCCTGGCTAATACCACGAAGGGCGTTGGAATATATCGGACAGGTGTCACCGCAGGACTCTTCACAGAAATAATTCCTGCATGATTATTTTTAAAGTTTTTATTTGAAGATTTTTTTTAATCACTGACTAAGCTCTTATTAAACTTTGTCAATGAGATATGGAAATCTTTAGACAATAAAGTACATTTGATTTGTGGAGTATTGCAAAAAGTTGTCATGCCCATTTCCTACCCAGGTTTGTTTTTATTCGGGATAGCCAGTTCAGCATTTATGATCCCGCATAGTACCACAGATGAGATCCTATAGATGGCGTCTTCGTAAAAGGTGATGTCATTGCTTCTATTTATTCAGTTATTCATAATATGTGGCTCAAAGTTGAATCAATCAATAAATCAAAATATAGGTATATTTTATTTGTCTTGAGAATGTTCTCAGTGGCTAAGTCTATGACATGACATGAAGACATAATAAAAATTGCTGGTAACATACTGCAAATTCAGTACTTATGATGAAATCATAGTCTGATGAAATTTTATATCTGTATTTACCACATGTATAAAATTTTTAATGATAAATAAATTTCTATTCTATTCACAGTTCAAATCATAAACACAAAAAACATTAACAAATCTCTAACAAAGGCTTTTGTAATTGTAAATGGCATACAATGGTCAGTTCCAGTTTTGCCAGTCATCAGTCTCATTCTAAATGTTAATTTTACCTGTCAACTTCTATGTATTTCCTATTTATGACTTGCCGTAAATGTATAAATATACGCAATATGAAAGGTGGAAGGCATCTCTCCTTACAAATACGCCGTCTATGGAATCCTCAGAGAACTCCTTGGATATCAAAGATAAGCGAGATAAGCAAAGTCAAGCTGCGAGATCGACTGCTGACAAAATTTGTCCTCTGTCTTTCAATGCAAGGCAAGTAGTTGTATACAAGAGCCCAAACACAACTACACTATATAATTGAGCATTAATAAAATCTGGCTACCTGTTCTAAAAGGTACACAAACAAGGCCAGGTGATCCAATTGAAAGAAACCAAGACACGCTCACTAATAATGAATGAATATGAAACTAGAGTCAAATATCAGCATCGTAGTTTATGCAATGAGAACAACAATTTGAGCACCAACTCAGGCACTGCGACCGTTACCACATTGCCTTTGATAATGTATGCCGCAGTAGTAGACGAAACGTCAGACATTAAAATCTGCAGACTAAGGGTAAAAAACACGAAAAATAGCTTTCACACAGTTATCTCACGCAGTGAACGTTTATATTCTTCGAACATACCTATTTATTATTATGTAAATATTTTGTATTGAAATGTTATAACAATATTAACTGTATATAAATGAATGAACTTAGTTTTTAGTTTCAACAAGCATTTTTGATTAAATACTCAAAGGCCCGCCACTGCAGGCAGAAAACAACCCAAACGCCCATAAAATCTTTTGTTTGCTATAAAAAATAGGGTGAAAGCGGAAAAGTATTAAAAACCGACCTATACCAGCTCTAGTAAATTATATCGACATAACAAAGTTTTGTTTGAACATTCTGTTATTGTTTTGCAAATTTGGGCAATGGTCACATGGTGTTAATATATTTTTCGAAATAAGGTTCATTTGAAACAAAAAACTGACATGTTTGAAGTTTGACCTTGATTGACAATGCAAATTTGTCAAGATATTACTTATTGTCGACATGTGCATCTGAAAAGCAAGGAAACTAAACAGCCATTTCATGTTTCGTACACTGTGAAAAGTAACATTCAAATATTCTCAAATTATTCAGGCAATTTTGTAATTGATTTGTACAAATGCAAAAATTTTGATAGCAAGAGCGTGATTTAGAAAGTTCAACATGGTTTCAGAAAAATGGCTCCACAGTTACAAATTAACATTATTTTGTTACACTAAACAAGCACTGTGATTGACACAGAATGTTCCAATATGTAATCATATATTAACCCATATCATTTATGTATCAAAATACTTATATTCTTGATTTCCTTATGCCAATGAAAGGTAGAACTGAAACATCTCCCGTAGAATAAATCCGAATCGTGTACTGTTCCCAAACACCAGAATTGCAATACTCTTTTCAATGCGCGTTTCAGCAACACTTTGGCATCTTCAGGAGATGAAGACGTCAACTTTAATGTTGAAACACGGCTTGAGAGGAGTATTGCAGTTCTAGTTCTTGCTTTGGATGCTGATGTCAATTTGCTAACAAATTTTGTTTTGTTTTCCTAATTCAAAGGAAAGTGTATATATTAGCATAGCAACTTTTCAGGATGTACCAGTATAATGAGTTTGCTCTTCCTACACTAGTATAGTTTTTCTAATAACTGAAGTTTGAAAAAACCAATCAGTTATTTACCTAAATTCATCTCCTCCTTTTCTTTTTTCTCACTTGTCATATTCCTTATTATCCTCATCACATCTCTCGTCTTTCATATCTTTCCAACTTTTTCCATGTCGGCATGTCGTAACCATGATAATATCTTTTCTATTGTGAAGATGATATAGAGAGTTCCTAGTATCAGAGCCAATACCATGAACATATCTCTTACCTTTAAAAGCCAATAGATAGGTCTTTTCTAAAGGAAAATTATTAGCAGAAGCGGCTCCGGGTTCACCACCTTTTGCAGGGTGTACTTTATGAAATAATGGAATACTAATATCAAATCCAGAACGGACATGGTTTTCTGACATACTTGCTTTGGCTAAAATCGCCTTACCATAATCAAAATCCAAGTCATTTTCAGTATAGTTGGGCCAAGTACCAGAATACAAGTTAAATATGACATGATTGAGGCCATTGTTCCAATGAGGTAAGCGTTGTAATTTACTTTGCATATTCCGAACATAGTCATTACTCAATCGGTCTCTATCCAATGTGTCTATACTTAGTACAAATATGCAAGCTTCTCTAGGATCGGCAGTATAATATCTAGATTCTAGCAGGACATTGAGCAGTTTTAGGTAGGACGGACTAGGCACACTGCTGTCCTCCTGAGGATAAACATACACTCTGAAATCTCTTTCACATTTACTGAAATCAAAACAAGTTTCCATTCGACAGTTCTCCTTATTTTCTAACAAAGTTCTCTCTTTTCCCCTAACTAAATAGCCTGTGTCTATTACATTCATACTGACATAGTCAGACAGTCCATCTATATCAATGATTATTTCTTCATGATGCCGCAAGTGGTATCCTCCGAAATACCAGAAAGTGAGGAATGCAACTACAAAGACCAGCAAGTAGCGCCTTTTAGCTTGCATAGCTTTTTTGATCTTGCTACTCACATTGAAGTTTTGTTATTCTATTCAGTATCATTTCATTATTTTTGTAAAGTTATAATCATCTTTTGATAAAATTAAATTACATCACAGTTTTACATGCTGAAGATATTGTCAGTGATTCTCTGCTTTGAATTAGGTAACTTTCGAGAGCTGTACTTCCCGATTACAAGTATATCTTCATTTTCATTAGTTTACTAGAGAATCCAACCTCCAACCGCAAAATTTCTGAAACATAACACGAATTTTTAACTTTGAAATCTGACATTTGAAATTTGAACCGTCAAAATTTCAAAGGTGATAATATAAGCAATATGTGGAAAGTGTAATGTGCCTTTAATCAAGTGAGTTCTTAAATTCATCGGTGGAATTTTTCCGTTGAATTCGAGAACACGCCTACAAATCTTTGGTGATGTCAGGCCTAGGACAAAAAAAGCTGAAAGCACTGCGTTTTGTTTTCATCAGCCGGTATATAGCAAAGTTCGTTTAAAGGAACCTTTTTTTTGAGTGCAAAACACAAGCACTACAGGAAAATCTTTAAGGCGCTCTAAGAGCGGTGCCAGTGCCGAAGTAGCGATTCACATTGGATTTGAAATCAGCGAGAAAAAGAACGCTTTAACTCCATTCAGCAATTACTGTCTATCACATTCAACAATAAACCCTCATTCATGCTTATTCGAATAATTGCATTTTTTGCGAATCGAAAATCTCACATTTTCATGCAAATGTTATCAACTGTCATTTTCTTTCAATAATAAAAAGCAGAACTCAAAAATTGGTTTTCGTTTTCATTGGATTATATATGTTTACCTTACAGCCAGCCTTTCTCCGTAACTTATCATGGGTTCAGTAATATTAAACCATTGTACCTACCAATCTCGGCCCCACCATCAATAACGATTCTTCAAATCGAGAAGAAGTTACACGAAACTAGTTTGAATTAAACTAAAAATTAAAAAAATAAAATTGCCCAATATACAAACAAACTTATGAACAAAAGCTGAAAAAATGTTTTTGGAAAAATAGCGTTCTGATACATAGAGACAATTCATTATCAGTATTATTTTTTAATTATATTTGTTAGGATCATATATTCTCATCTACCTGAAAATGTATTTGGAAAAGGTGAAATAAAAAACAGGCATCCATATCTAAAGCCAATGACACAATAAAGTTCAAATATTTCAACTTTTTTACCATTTTATTCGCATACTCTAAGGAGTGTCTTTTGCTTTCGAATCAAAAGTTTCATATAGATTTTCAGTCAATATGTGTGAAGCGTTTCTCCATCACTAGTTTGACGTCCCGGAAGAGTAGACACGGTATTAGTATAAGTACTTGTTCTGTTACCAACATCGATCAATCCTTGTTATTGAACATTTTAATAATATTCATCGGAATTATAAAAAATAACCGTTGCATTTGTTACACAGTATTTACCCCATTTCTGCAATATACTGTTACAACGGGCGCATGTCTTGATGCGCAGTTTTTTGCAAAACACATCGCGCATGGTTCTATAAAAACCTAGTCGTCCCATTGGATTACGTTTCCAATACTATGGAACACTTAACGCGCATGGTGACAGCGCAAGTTGGCTGACAATTCCATATTAGGGCGAATATATTTCTCATTCAAAATAAGTGTTGAATTCTGATAATCTCGCAAAATAATATGGTTTTTAAGTGTGTCACGTAATTATTACATTTGTACTGTGATTTGACATCTCCAATAACCACTCTCTCAACTTCTTCAACCCGGTAAATTAATAAAAATGTTTTCCGGGCTCACTAATCAGGTCTCATCATGGATGGGAAGTGTTAAAGGAGACCAAGAAGAAAAAGTTCCGACTCCAACAGAGGATAGTGCTGTCCTCGTGAGCCCTGACAAAAAGGAAGCAAGGTATGTTCTAGGTTTGACCTATTTTTTATTGATTATTAACTTCTCTATGTGGATCATCCCCTATTCACTCCACCATTATTTAGATCGTTGCTCAAAGGATCTGAATGTATACCTTTTACTTTACTTATACATTTATTAGACACAAAAAATGATGTGCTACAGAGTTTTAGCAAAAATGGCTTAATACTTTTTATTCATTACAAAATTGTGTAATGAATTTTATGTCACCACTGCATCTTTCTATATTTTACTGAAAGACACTTTCTCAAGATATTTTGTGAGTCACTAGAGAGGCTCAAAGAGTCTCTGGCATATAAGTTCCTCAATAATTAATGTTTGTATCTCAAATATTTCTAAAAATGTCAGTTGCAGATAATCTGAATTTATATTATCATGATCTTGAAAATTTCTTTTGCATATCTTAAATGTTATTTACATGAATGTGATAGTAAGCAGGTAGAGAAGATCAAATCACTGTAACATATTTCAAGTATTTGTTTTTGAGGTAGCAATAAATTTTTTGCCAATTTAATAATGAAGCTAACACTTGCCATGCTTTCAATGATAATCAGGATCATTATGATTATGAAAGGGAACCTTCCTATAAAAATACACTTGCAAGATCTATAACTCTACTTATGGTCCCCATCTAGGTGATATGTTCTCTTTTGATTTCTGTAGAATGATAAAATTACACTTTGAGTTCAATAAAAGTTTTTCTGCAATGGACTTCCTCATGATCTGATTCAATAAATCTGTACAACTCTTATAAAATAGAGTCCAAAAAAGTTCAGAAAATTGACAGAGAACATTTCTTGGTGTATGAAAAAACAAGAAACGATCAGGATTTAGAATCACACAAGGTTACAAAATTGATTTTGCCCACTTGTGCAGAAATTCAATATGAAATGTTCACATTTTATTATTTTTTATATTGCAATCTAAGTTTTTAAATTGAGTTAAGATGTTAGAATTATAATTAAATTTCTATATAGAACACTAAATTGTTAATGAATGAATGAAATAAAAATTAATTTTTCTTCTATGAAAAGAGTTTGCATATTGCATTCACTTTCCACTATTAAGAGTTCGAAAGGAGTTGCGGAAAAATATATTGTAAATATACTAATAACTTGAGTTGAAATGTTGTATTATTTTAAATTTGATATAAGGGGCATATTATTAGTTGATATTGTTTTACTATCAATTATAATGTGTGATTCATTAATATTATTTATCAGTCCAACAAAAGCAACTGGGGGAGGAAAGCTAGAAATGTTTTCCAATGTGAAAAATCAGATTGAAGGAATTGGGGGTTGGTTGGGTTCAAGTATTCCAAAACTAAGAAAAGGGGAAGAAGTTATAACTGACGGGCAAGAACCAGTCACCACGGACAATGTGGAACCTGAACCTTCCCAAGTAGCCCCACCAAAAGATGATGATGACAATTCAAGGTGAGCCAAATGATATTTTGTCGATTTTGATGATGCAATTATTGTTGGGTATTGTCGAACAACTGATGAGTTTTACCCTTAATTAAATGTTAAGGAATTATTAAGTCTTAATTCTTGTTGTCTCTATAGATTTGCCATAATATGTAGATATAACGAGCCACTCCAGAAAATCTAAAGGATGAAATAACCGTTCATAATTGCTTATATTGAGTTAATAAATGGTATTTATAGTTTTGCCAATTTCAAGTGTATCATTTTACTTAATATGGACATATCGGCATTGAATAGGACTAATAGTCTTCTTGATGGGCGTTTCACCAACCAAGTTGGTATCTTTAGGAGTTGAAGATGCCAACTTGATTGGTGAAACATGGGTCTGAGAAGAGTATTATTGCAGTTCTGGTAATTAAGAAATGTGCTTGTTTTGAATTCATTCTACAAAAGAAGTTTCAGTTTAACCTTTTCTTTGATCATTATAATAAATTTTTGTCTCCATTGCTAATTCGACAGATCATTGAATACAATTTAATTAAAAGAAACTACTGATAAATATTACAATTATAAAACATTGGTTGCATCATCAATTGAAATGTTTCAGAAGTGCAGGGAAAGAAAGTGAACTTTGTTCTATACTTAGTTATTTGTAACTCATGTTTAATAGATGTTTATTATCGAATACAGTATTACATATATCATGAAGTTAATTTACCAAAAAACCTGTGATGCTTCTGAGTGTGGAAAATCTGCATTGAGTGCAGAGAATTTTTTGGAAACCACATGTCATAGAAGCTGTGAAGAAAAATAAATTCTGTGGAATAAAAACTGCAGAAGACTGATTAGTAGGAGCTTCAAACAAAAATTGCCTGTCAGATCTTATTTGAGTACCATAATATTGTGAGAATTTCACACAAAATCATGACATTTGTTTCACTATACAAATGCTTCTTCGGGAGCGTAGTATACTAGTAGTTTTGTTAGTATTGAACACCTGCAGAAACTATCATATAGTGAAACACTTGTGGTTTTGTAAAATTGTTAGTGAAATTCTCACAATATTGTGTTACCTAAACACATTATCATTATGATGCTCGATCTTAGGTAAATTTCTCAATTTTCTTTTGCAAGAAGACTCATTGAAAAAAAATCTTTAGACTTGGTGATCTCACTTTCCCTGAACATTCCTGTACAACATCAAAACTTAATGTAGAAATTATAGTGCTACTGGAGGGGCTGATTCAGGACCTCAATCTGCAGCAGAATCTCCTACTGAAGATAAAGACGGTCAATTTTCTAATGGTATGTACTATAGATGCCCTGTATTCTGAGAATGTGTTTCAATATTATCGCAACTTCTGAATTGTATTGATTTTTGTTATGTTTGATGTCAGTGGGCTTCGATAGTATGTTTTTGATAAGTCAGTATTCGAGACAAATTTTTCATTTATGAACAAATATGAACCTGTTGTCTGTTTGGAAAGTCAAAGTATTAAATTCTAATTATGCATGCAAAATGTATGTAGATCTTAAGTAATTACAGCCACGAAGTCACTGTACTGAAAGGCTCACAATCTACAAATCATTTGAATAAAAAGTTAAGGTTTACTAAATATCAGTATTCAAACAGACTTTTTATAGAATCGATTTGTCACGTAGAACCGAAATTTATCTGTGAGTCAAAGAAATTTCTATTATATCAAATATTAAAAATGTGGCAGAATGAGACCACAGAAAACTAAACTATACAAAAAAATCATTGATTACCAACTTTGAACTGTGGGAACAAGATTTTCTTTAGTTACTGGGACATTTTGGTGTGACTTTCAAAATGATGTGATTACATAAACTCAGAGGTCTCTGTATTGAGATTTTCAGTGTAGTTACAACAAAACCATACCAGATCATGGGACTACACTCATTCTAGATGTTATTTTAAAAGAAAATGAAATGACCCAACATTTTCGAAGATTCAATTCCTTTTTCAGGAATGACCAATTTTGAGAATTGACCTACCATATATACGCTATGTATCACAAATGGTGAATAAATATTATTATTATTATTATTATGTC